TTCAACCTTTCTGAGACGATGTTGCAAGCTTAGCTTGGACGATCTCTCACTCTTTCCTTAATAACTATTCACTCCCTTCCTCTCTAATGCACCCTTCTTACAGGAATGAGCAAAACTCCCATAAGGAATTTACCTTTTTGCAAGTCAAGTGTCGCTGGCCCCTCCTCTACTTTACTCATCCCTTGGGACTCAGGCATGGAGCACAACACACCACAAAGGGATTTCACCTGAAGAACATGTTTATTTTTCTCCTCTAGAGGAGGCTAGAAGTAGAGCCAGCTCAATTACAATTAGGTGGTAGCTCATTTGTTATTAACATATTAAGCAAACCTTATTATGGAACACTACTGTATCACCTAGACCACCATAACATTGTGAGGTACAAATTACTAGTTAGTGGACTGTGACAGACACACCTGATTTGGATATATTTTTTCTGTAGGGAGTCTCTCTACTAGGAAAAAGTTCTTATTTTACTGAATAATTACGTCTCTTTCTTGGATGGTCTTTCTAAAGTTTTAGTCAGTTTCAAGTACTTACCTTATTCTCACAGCTCATGGGGTCAGGTTACACATTCACCAGATTTTTTTGTACTCCTTACAAAGCTAAAGAGTTATCTGAAGCACTATCCCTGTCATTGTCCACTGTCTGTACTGATCACCACTGCAGCCCTGCTGCAAGAAGGGACACTGATATCTGTGGCTCACACGTGTTCCTTTCACCAAACAAACAGGCTGGAGAAATTATACTGTCTACCAGAGGCAACCTAAAGTGATACAGTTTTTTCCATTCACGGCACATCCAAGAGATCCCAGACAACACTGTGCATTTCAAAGAATAAACTCATAGAAATGCACATTTAAGAAATAAAATATTCCCAAACAGATCTGAACACTCACAGTTACAAAGTGCGAATATGCAAACATCAGCTAACTCTCAAAGGTCTGCAAGCATGCTGAGGACAAAAGAAACCTGTATTAAGTAGAACAACCATCTTACCAGCCATAAGTTCTTTCTGGCTTGGGTATAGGATCATCGAAAAAAGAATCTCCCTCTACATCATCTTCATCCACATCTGGATCACTTTTTTCTTTGGTATTTAAGTCTTTGTTTTCTAGTTGAGGATCTAGTTTTGTTTCATTAGGCAGAAAATGAATACTTCTTTTGCTTGTTTCCCCTGATGAGATACTTGTATCACTTTGAGTGGTTTCAGTCGCCTTGAAAGATAAAGAAAAAAACCCTCACTGAAAGGAATAAGTAATTTATCTTGAAGGAAACCCATATAAACTGCATTTCTGTCTCATAATAATGTAATCAGTAATATAAACACACAACATGTAACATACAACTAGCATCACCTTTTAAAAAATTATCTGAATTTTTTTAGTTCTTCTCAGGAATTTATCATCATCAGGAATCACACAAGAGGAAAAAAGCTGTTTTATCATTTTAGAAAAGAAGTGTTCTTTATTGTTGCTGCCATTAAAAAATGCTGTTCCACTCTCGGCACGGCTTTGCTATCTAGATTGCTTCTGCTATAAAATTAACCAATTTTAAGAGATATTTGTCATCAAATAAAGGAATCTACATATAGAGTGATTCTTAATTCCTAGCTTTCAAGACAGGGGGGGTTGTTTGTTTTAGAGCCTGAAAGTTATGTGGTGCTTTGTTAGTATTATTTTGCAACATCTCAATAAACAAATATTGTTAGTTACAGCCACAGTCTTCAAATAAATCAATTTAAAGCTACGTATATTACTCTAACTTTCATATGAAGTGGTAATCTCTACAACTTAATACTAGGTTTTCAAGTGACAATCATAAGACAACTGCAGTTAATTACGCCCTCCCAATACTAAAAACAATAACGATGCAAACAAGATATTTTAAAAGTACGTAACTTTCAGTCTTTATATCATGTTTATGGCTCAGTCCTACAGACACTCAAGCTTGTAAGAACTATTACATATTCTAACTTTAGGATCAAGTAACACAGGTCAAGTAATATCTTTTCAAAACTTTGTGACCCAAAGAACAGTATCCAAACGTACCTAGATAATCAAGCTATTACGAAAGAATGGATTTTTATTTTTAAACAATAGCATTTTGCTACCTAGCAAGCTGTAATGCAATGTTTATCTTCCCCTAGTTTTATTAAAATTAAGCCAGTGAAAAGATCTATTCATTTCACTAACTTTCTTCCTGCACACTCAGAAGCACCTGTTTTTAAACAAAACAAACAGTTTGGTTGGTTTGGTGCATCCATGTAACTAATATGTAGGTTGTACTGTATTAAATATTTCTTTATCAGTCATTAACTTTTATTCAGAAGGTTGAAGTAAAATTTTCAGACTGTAGGCCATGGAAATTGAAAAAGGCCCACTAAGGTCATTTTATTTCAGTCACAGAACCACATGCAATTGCTAGCAGCAGCAGCTCAGTTCTTCTAGGGTAAGAAAAAGTATTTACACCTGTGAGTAGCAGCAACAATATTTTTTCATTTCTTTTCCTAGAGGAATGTAATTGTTGGTGAAAAATAAGAGCGTAGCGATACCCTGACTGGAGTAAAAAGAAATTACAGCTACTTTCTGTTCTGGGCCCTGAGAGAGTGAGCTGCTGCTATATCATTTCAGAAACTAGAAGCACAACAGTTGACCTTGGCTTAAATCATGTATTATGAAGAAAGGAAAGTGTGGTTTCACACTTGCACCTAAACAAAAGTAATTCTTTACTGCTGCCAAGAGGTCTGGTCTTGGTTTCTCCTAGCACACTTTCTATGTTACACCTTGTGGTTGCCAAGTCATAGGCATAGCCAGTTCAGCTCACAGGTTTGCTGAAAAAACACCAGAGTGTCTCAAGTTTCAATCAGGAAGTCTAGACTGTTCAGGAACTTCCATCTTGCTCCAGCTGGGACTAGCTAAAACTTCCTCCTTCCGCATTGTTTTTCCTCCAAGTATGTTGCATGGGCAGAATGTTCTCCTGTCCTGCCTTTGCCAAGGAGAGAGAGAACCAGAATAAATGAATAAATAAATTTGAAGAACTGTAGTCCCATTAAGAAATCCACTACTTATTCTTAAAGGACTATGTAGTCCAAATAACAGCTCTTGCTGTTTCTATGAGAAAACACCCATACAGAAAGCAATCTTTTCCTGTTTCTGAGATACATAGTTTCATGGAGGACTCAGAAACGTATTTTTAAAAGAATTCCCAAAATATGTTTGCTTATCTCCCACTGCAATTAAATTATTATTTGCTCACCATAGAAGATGGGTATAAGGAATATAAAAAGCCCAATCATAAATTCCAGTTTGTTGGAAATTATATTCTAGTTACACCCTCTTAAGATCAGAAACTGCATGTAAATGAAAATGTTCTTATCACTACTTTTGCTGCTTCTGCACTCCAAAAGCACTCAACTGTGGTGTTCCAACAACACAAAACTCTCCTTAAAAAAAAGAAAATGTGGTTCAGTGCATGATCTTTTACCACACTTCAATACTACTTGCTCTGAATTAAATACTCCTAGTTGGTAGTTTCTCTAAAACTAAGACCTCAGAATAAACCTTAGAATCACTTTCTTGTGTCCATATACTTATGGTCATATAAGTATATACACATTCAAAAAATGCCACTATCAACTGGACCAGTCACAACAACTATCATTATGCTAAAGTCAGTCAGGAAGAGAAGCATGAGTATCTATAGGCTAGCGAATTGAAACAGTCAGTAACAGTCTGAAAATTCTCATGACTTCAGCACAGAGAGGAATACAATGAGCTGAAATATAGTATCACTTCTGGAAAACAGTACTAAGCTTTGGAAATCATTCAGACATAGTTTATATTTCTTTTCTATGCACTTAAGAAGTCACTATTTGACCTGAGTACCAGGGTTTGTTTTGTACAGGCCCAAACAATTGTGATAGAAAAACTAAGACTGCAATTTTTTCTTGTTATCATCTTAAACATGAAGAATGACTAACTACTTCATGATACCTTCTCTAAAGGAGATATTCCAGGCATAACTTAAAACTCATTCTTATTGATCTAGTTTCCTAATGAAACAAGTCTTAAAATACTATACTCTGTTTGTGTGTCTGTCTTCCCCTAATGTATTTTGGACTGACTGGGTAAGTTTAATCACTGCAAAAAAGGTAGAAGTTTCCAAAAAAACACAAGAACATTGCAATGCATGACTAGCATCGCAAAAAGCTCTCTTAAAAACAGACATAAAGGAATAAGATTCACATCAGACAGAGATTGGATCAACTTTGAGATATGTGCATGCACACTCAAAAAACCCCATATGAAACCTGGTTCAGTTTACAAGCTACTGTAACTATGTTTTTCCTCCTCTAGACAACAGTTCTCTTCTTGAGGAAATGCCATATAACAAACACTTAGCTCTTCTCTTTCTGACCTAGTTATTTCAAGTAATTAAAACCTGAAGATGAAAGGTGGTATAAGCAAGGGAGAATGGGATGTTTGACTTCCAACTCACGATCATGATCTACAAAAGTAGAGGTTCAAGTATGAAGCAACATTATTAGTAAGAGCAATACTTAATCAGCATTTAGATGTTTTAATTAGATTTGTTTTATTTTAAAAGCTGGTGCCAAGCAAGGATTAGCTTCTCCTAAAGCAGGTCTGAAATTATTAGAATTTCCACTCAAAGGTCAGTTACAGAAATATTAGCTTTTAAGACACTATTAAAAAACACAGCAATTAATAATGAAACTTAATCTTGAAACTTGCTTTTCAAGTTATTTGTTTTAGCATGGCAAAAACTTAAAAGAATTGCAATAAAATCAAGTAGTTCCACACAGACTTGTCCTTTTCTTTCATCCTTCTCATTCCCTCTCCCAAATGAATAAATTAACGAAAAAATCCATGCAAAGTTACATTTCTCAGCTTTCATTAGTAAGTTGGAAAGCTTCTAAGTTATTTCCAGTAATCTTGAAAAAAGCCATTAAAACTTTTTATGGGATCACACTATGTAAGTCATTTAAACAAACTTTAATACCTGAATTAGGGCTGTTTTGCTTTGTTTGCTGTTGTTGTTGGTTTTGATGTTTGGTTTGTTGGGTTTTCTTTTTGTCTTTTAATGGGGTGCAGCAGGTAGATGGCTTCTTGTGGAAAAGAGGCTTAAGTGATCATGGCCCTTTCCACACCCTACACTTTCCCATAATTCTCAACCTGTAGATCAGTTCCAGTCAAACATAAAGGAGTATCAGAGGCCTGAAAGATGTTAGTTTATACATATTTTGTGCTAATAGGAAGCAACAGAGAAAAGAAAGCCACAAGCCCCACCAAAAAGACAGCTGTATCCTAACACCTCATCCGTCTCCAGCAGCAGTCAGCTGCCTGATAAACACACAAGTTAGGTCCAACCTGTCTGTCTCTCACCAAGACTCTGTGTATGTGCTGTCACACATGCAAGAAAGTCACAGGACTTTGCAGATCATTTAAGCAAACACCATCATATTTGGAGCTCTCTCTTTCACTTTCTCATGTATGTTATATAGCTTTTTCATTATATACAATCAATCTTACCTTATTTGGTATAGGTTGTGTACTTGATCTTCCACCAGATGATTTCGATTTGGGGCACAGGCTGTCACTTAGAACTGGACCCTAAAAGTTTCATATAAACAATAATTAAAAATATATTGAATTCTGCCATAACACTTTCAAACAAGAAACACAGCTATCTAACTCACTCACACAGTATGCAAACTGTCACTCTGTGATGTTAGGAAGTGTATCACAACTATTTAGGAATTTAATCTTTTGTTGGGGTACTGAATTCATATGGGGTGCAGAGAACTTTTTTTGGAGCCAGAATCATGACAGACACTAACGAAATACAATTGGTTGGATTTAGCTGATAACTAGGTACATACTTCATTAAAATATTATTGTCATTGCCTTCAGCTAGTTCAGTACTTTTGTATCTTTATTTTTAAATAAATGTTTTCAGAAAACAGATACAGCTGAAACTATCCAAACCATACTAGAAATTAGAAAATAAGTGACAGTGTTTTGTATCATTTATCTGTATTCACTCAGTTACTATGTTGTAGCAGATTATTATTAAAGAGTACTAGGGTGGCATTAAAAGTAATACAACAATCATAATCTTTATTTTTCAGCATTGCTTTCTGATAACTTACATTGAACGCATTTCCTATTATACCAACTATAATAAAGACTTGATACAGTATAATAATACAACAGTAGTGCTTTATTTTTCATCACTGAAATGAAATTTAATAAAGAATTGTGAAGTAAGAAAGAAATAACACAGTAACACTACTTACTTCTCCACTGCCTGAAATCTTTTTCCGCTGACATTTTCTAACAACCTCCAACAACAGGGGACCACTCACAGTACCTTCTGGCTCTCCAATTCCCAAATCTTGAGCTAAGTTTTCTCGATCATCAAGGCCATTTAGCTATGGGAAAAAAAACAAACACAAAAACAAAACACACAAAAAATCACGACACAGAAATAACTGTCAGAAAACACAATACATACCTTGTAATATAAGTCCTAAAGCTTTTTAGTCTTATTTAACACAGCAATATTTTTTACTAAAAAGTGATTATTTAAGACTTCCTGCTTCATGTGGAGTACAGTAATGATAGTCTGTTGCATCATTTACTTCTGATCTGTACCTGAACTTGTCACAGAACATCCACAGTTGTTTTAAATATGCAAGCATTCATCATTAGCATGCTTCAGGATTTAGGGTTTATATGGTCAAGTTACTTTAGCTTATCACATTTAAAAGTGGATCCTAGGACACTTGGCTAGTTGTTCCAGCAAATTCATAGATGATGGGGAGTCAGCATTCCTTTGCATATAGAAGTAAATCAGCATGCACTACAATCAACCAGCATAGATACTAATAAAACCAGTATATCTTACTGTGCTTGATTCAGGCTGAAAAACAGCCAATGTAAAATCGAGATTGAAAAAGCGTAGAAATTCTGCAACAAGACCTGCTACCAAGCGACCTGAAAAGGAAATGACAACAGTAAAAGTACACAAGACAGAAACAATTCTTGCTTCAAAGATTTAACATTAACATGGTTTCAGTATTAACATGTATGTTGATTCAGCATGCCCACAAACATAATTTTGACATTCAGCAAACTACCACCACATTTGTATACCAATTCCCCAATTTCTATCTTTGTCATAATATCAAAACTGTATGTCAGCAATACTGCAGGAGCACAAATAGAGACTGCTTAAAACATTCAGGTGTAAGATCTTTTTTTTTAACTCTTCAGCTGTTTTAAAGATATATTTTTAACAATCCTCCTATGTTTGAATTATGTACTGTAACTCTACAGTGAGTTTTCACTGGTGGCTGTTTCTATTGTCCAGAAAGGCTCTTAGTTATTATTCTAACTCATCATGCAATATTAATTTAAATGTATTAGTCACCTCAGTTAAAAATACAACTTCAGTAATAACTTCAAAAATTATAGATTGAATTCTACTTGGAATTAATAGTAATTATAATATTTGACAGGAACAAAAGTATCCTTTATGATATGATGATGGTACTGTTAAGATACAAAGATTTAATCCTTTGTTCCTTATTTTTATTATTTTGAGAATTATACTAAACAAAGAACTTACCATCTTTCGTACCTAAAAAACTTTTCAAGCTTTCATTTACAAGAGGTGCTTTGTTCTGCCAAAAAATAAAAACCAAACAGTAATGATTATCCTCATACTACCAAGAAACAGAAAACCATATCAAGTTGGTATTTTGATCTACATTCTTCCATGATGATGCTTGCAACTCACCTCTTCAAAATCTACCTTTGTATTAATTCTACTACCTACAAGTAAAAGCTCCACAGCCATACATTTACTTAGGCAAATTAAAATTGTACCAGTGTTTCTATTAAGAGTAATTCTACCGAAATTCTTAAAAACTTACTGATTTTTATTTACTTAATGATTAAAAACATAACTTAAGCAGTCAATTTTGTAAATTGCTCCTCTGATACAATGCCAAGTTAGTTTAAGGAAATTGAGTCCCATTAGAAAAACAAAAAGGGAATTTACAAATCATGTAGACAAAGTGTGGACCATGCTAACTAGTGGTTCACAAACCACTAATAATCTTCTCTTAGTAAAAATACCTTCAGAGATATTATGAGCATGTTTTTTCTCCCTTGTTAAACGTGCCCTGTTCAACATTTATTTTTAAATAGAGATAAAGCAATGTACTGTGTTTAAGTTTGTCAAAACTGTTCAAGGATTTTTCAAACCAAATTCTACATGTTTTTTCTACTATAGCAAAATATCCTGGGTAATAACATGACTCAAATGATCTGTTATAGGTATTTATCACTACAGTCAGAAATGCTAACACACACGTGGAAGTGCTGAATGCAGAAAGAAATATATCTTGCTTAATATTTAGTAATTCAGAGTAGTGATAGATATTAATATATTTCCAGCATCTCTACAGTAAAAAATTAAGATATCATTATACATTTAAGCCATTTGAAAAAAGCATGAGCTGAGATCAGCTGTAGCAAACCTCTCTTGGGTCCTATTACTCTCCATATAGTCTGGAAGGTTGTTCTCTTGGTACTCCATAGTATGCTACAGCTTTGTGGAAAAGATGACACTGTGCTGTTATGTAACTCTTCCATTATTTTTTCTTCAGCAATCTTAAGCTAGATTTCTGTATTATGGAATCTCATACCATAGAAGAACTACTTCCGCTCCATACTAATGTCACATAACATCTACTTCAGTTGTGCAATTTTCCAGAAAGAGCATGAACATCTAACCAGTGGAGGAATAGGTCAGTTTTCCATTCCTCTCTTTTGAAATAGAGCCTGGCCATAGAGCATTCTCTCCTCTATAGTTCTAGAAAATGGAAAGACAGAGGAAATGAGGCAATGCCAGAAGTAGAAGGGGTCACAAAACTAGTGTCTGCAGACTATGGCAATACTGTTACTTCATCGTGCTAGCACCGCATAGTCTTCACATTACCTGATTGTCAAAGTGTCACTATACAGTCCATCTCTTAATTTAGAAATCCTCCTTAAATATAAGCAAAATATCCTGAAATAAGCCTACAGTATTCTTATGAGAAATACCAGAGGCATTAGCATACGTGGTAAGTTACTGCATTACTTTCACAATACACTTGTCAAAAAAAACTCACTATAATATTTTGCACTTCAAAAGATATTATTCTGAATTGATAAAATCTTGCAACAGTCAACTAAATTTTGTGTTAGAGAAGTACGTCATGGAAAAGATACTTAATTATTGTGGTCAAGTGGTCAGGAGTGATATAAAACCTGCAGACATAATTATTTAAAGTTAGTTTCAAAAGGTTATGTAATAATTCCTATTTCTAAACATCAGGAAACACCCTGGTAGTCCTGGGTTATGTTCTTTAAGCATCATGCTCTCATGCAGTGCAAGACATTTTATTTGGTTACACTTCACAGATAGGAAGTATTAAATCTACTATATTTAATTCCACATGAAGAACTACCAGGATGATGATTGCTTAAAAAAAAATTGTAAGGTTTCCTTACCTCTACTTTCTCTTGTTCTTCTAGTGCCAAAAAAACAGCTGCTCGCAACTCTGCCTGCCAAATAAAAAAATAAATAATAAAAGCTCACAGCATTTCTACAAGCACTGTCCTCCCTATGCAAATAGGATGCAAAGAGCCAGCAAGCAGCTTAATAGCTATTTGTTCCTCCTCAAGCAACTTGACATTGATTGTAATCTACATCAGTGCAATTAAAACACCTAAGATGACACACAACGTTACTAGAGGTTGAGAGAGAAGTTTTCAGTCTGAGAACAAGTCACGGGGGGAATTTGGTACTATGCTATCTAAATTATTTCAACACAAAAGATTCCAAATTACCTACATTATCTCCTACTAGTTTCTTCTAGTTATAAATCCAGATCTTTCTTGGAACACCTATGCTTCATCTACAGTTCATTCAGGAAACATGAACATATACATTGTGACAATACCCTTTAAAAAATTTAATGTTAAGAAAGACAAATTCCTGTGATTTCTTGTTAGATCACATTCAAAGAAACCATACCTCAAGGAAAAGGGATCATGATTCTGGCCATTCAAATATTCCTGTACCTAGGTTTTACCTAACTGAATTTCAGTATCTTAGTATCAAGGATCAGAATTCTTCTAAGGACTAAGCCTTGCCTACTCTTTAAAAAAAAATATTTAACACTAGTTTCTCTGCTTCTTTCATTGAATATATCAAATGGGCAACAAACATACTTTACATTTGATGGAGTTTGCCACTTTAATTAAAGCTTAATCTGATATTTTAAAGTAGACAATAGATAATACTTCAGTAATAAACTATAAAAGACAGTGCTAGTCTGTAAACCAGTTTTCTCAAGAGCAAAGAACACAACCTTTAAAAGAAGCACAACTAAGAACAATACAAAGAGCGTCTGGATTTTCTCACATATATTTTGAAAGGTAACTAAACATCTGTAACTGTTCCATCCCACAAAAAAATTCCTTCCATTGGAAAAATAGAATAAACACTTCCTTTTACAACATAACTGCCTTTAGACACCTTTTTAAAGGTCAAAATGCCATACAAAAAAACCTTTAAATATTTACCATCAAAATAAGTGAAAAATGCTTACCACAATTGTATGCAATGGTAATATTGACATTGTAGTTACATTTTTTGAGATGCTTTCAATCAGCAAATCCTCTTACAACCCATTAATTTAAATACTATTCTTACAGAAACAGCTTACATTTACCTTTCCCACCAATATTTAACAACTTCTTTATTTAGTATTATGTTACTACAAAAACTTGAAATGGTTGCAAGGCTGACTTTCTTTTCCACTGATGCCACAGAAACCAAGTATACTTATTTAAGAGTACAAGAAGAATAACAGCATGGGTGAAACAGACTGGCTATGACAACTATTGAAAATTAAAGACAACAGCCATTACATATGGGTAGGGGTAAACCCCATTTAGGTTCTGGATCATGAAACTGTAGAACAAAGTTGTCTGAAAGTAGCTGCCGTTACATCAGCTGATCCAAAGTCTGAACTGTTTGAGATTTTTGGAACAATATCCCAACTGTCATTTCACATAACTGTGATTTTTTTACCTGCTCCTCTCCTCTTAAGTCCAACCCAGTGGCTTTTAAATATAGATGGAGATGCTTTTCTTCCTCTTCTCATCTATTCCATAGAATCACAGAATGGTTTGGGTTTAAAGGGACCTTAAAGATCATCTTTAAGGGACAGGGTGGTCCCTGTATGGGCAGCGACACCTCCCACTAGACCCTTACAGTGAAGAATTTCTTCCTAATGTCTCTCATAAATCTGCCCTCTTCCAGTTTGCAACTGTCAGCTCTCATCCTATCATTACACGCCCTTGCAAAAAGTATCTCCATCTTTCCTTCAGACCCTTTCAGGTACTGCAAGGCCACTATAATGCTTCCCCGGAACTGCATAAAATCATGTTGTACTAGTGAACAAAGGCATCACTGTGAGCTTATTTCTAAAAAATTAGTTTACAGCCTGATATGTTGTATCTACCAAGTTGATTATACTTGACTTCTAATCCATCCAGGGCTGTCTTTACCCATAGTGCATCATACCAATTCAGATAAACATTGACCATGTAATTTTATTTAATGTATCTACTTCAAAAAATCTCCAATCCATTATTATAGTTAGCTTTTTAGCTTCATTTGTCTTGAAACAATGGTCAGTATTCATTCTCAAGTATATCAAAACAGTTGTTTAATTTAATGTGTAGACCTCATTCAGTTCTACCACATAATAAATACTGACACACTGGTTTTGGCTTGTATGGGGGTTCTTTGGTTGTTTGTTTTTTTTAAATGCATGGTATAATCTGATTTCAACTAAAAGCTGAAGATTTACGATGACTTGTTCAACCTTAACTCTTCTGGAAGAAAAATGGCTTCTTGTCAGGTACTAGCAGAACAAATTCCAGAAGTCATTCATCCTACCAATTAACAGACAGCCAAAACTGTGTGCCAAGTAAGGTTTACGGCTAAGAAAAAAGCACCACAAATTCCTCAAATAAACAGCCTTAATCATAAGCATACCAATTATTAAATAGTAACTCCTTAAGTAGGATGCAGTTTGCATTTGTCTAAGTCATTTGCGAATTTGCAGTAAGGATACTTTACACCATATTGGATATTACACATTTCTAGCATTACAGAATAGCAAAAATTACAATACATATATTTACACAAAACTCAAAGAATAGGCAACCATAGTACAAAAACTTCCATTCTACGTGAAGGCAGGAATTAAGAAACTACAGCTCACATGTTCAATATGACCCAATTGGATAGTAGGTGTTTTTTTAAAATTATCATTTCATTATCACCATACTTTTATTCATTAAAACTACATGAGAGATTAACAGGTGGCCCAAAAGGCCTGTTTGACACAACTAGAAAACCGTCTCCCTACTCTAAATAGTTATGTGAGCTAGAATCTTAGAATCATAGAATGTGTGGGGTTGGAAGAGACTTTAAAAGGTCTTCTAGTCCAAACCCTCTACAGTGTGCAGGAACCTGTTTAACTAGATCAAGGCAACCTGTTCCAGTGTTTCATCACCATCATTGTAAATAACTTCTTCCTAATATCTAATCTAAATCTACCCTGCTCTAGTTAAAGACCACTGCCCCTTGTCCTATCACTATACACCCTTGTAAACAGTCCCTCCACTGCTTTCTCGTAGGCTCCAATCTCCATCTACTTGTGGAATTTAAGTAAGAATTATCCATTTGAAATGCAAGAACAATACATTTCAAATAATACTATTTTGTTGAAAAGTATAACAACCAGCCCAAAATCCAACGGTCTTTACACACACAAAGATGCTCTCACTTCCATCAACCCTTTCAGCTGCTGAACTGTTCATGAAGTATTAGCAATGATCATCTACCTCTTGAATGCTTAAAATGGAACACTGGGGATAAACGCCACCATCCTTAAATCTGAAACTCACACAATTTCTCCTTGAGCTTGGAAGGAAATTCAGTTCATATGCTTCCATATCTGGATAGCTCTTCACTGTATATAATAGCTATTGCTGGAAGCTTCTAACTTGAACAAGAATCCATAGAACTAATGTTCATATCCTTTCTAACACATACTCAGGATACAACACAGGCTCAGAAGCAGTGTATGCTCCACTACAACACTGAAACATTTTCTTAACATTGCATTATTTGTTCCTTGTAGGCAGGCATTATCCTCAGTTTCCAGGTGGAGCAAGCACCCAAGACATAGCTCAAGCAACCCATACTTTAAAAGAACAATGTTGAAACAGCGACCCTCAAGGACTCCTTCTTGAAATTTTCCATAGCGGTATATCATATCGAAGCGGAAAGAAATTCTACCCACCTCGTCCCACAGCACCCAGAAGCTGCTTTTTCCCAGCAGGTCTGGCAGCCGCAGGAGCGCTCACACGGCCACAACGCACCTCCCTGCGGCGGCCCAGAGCTCCCCTCCGCCTCCCCGCCCGGGCGGTCCCACAGCTCCCGCGGCCGCGCCGCAGCCTCACGCGGCGGTCAGGCCTCGGGCCCCGGCTCCGCGCCGCGCACGGACCAGCTCCACCGCGCAAGGCAGGCTCTGGCTCCTCAGCATGCCCCAGGCCAAGCGGCCAGGGCCACGGGTAAAGCAGGGGCCACCGCCAGGCCGTAAGCCAAG